AGGCCATGGTTTCTCGACCTGTGGCTTAGGACTCTTCAGGAAATCTCACCAATTATAAATGCACTGTTATTATGAGCCTGATCAGCCTTGCATAGCCAGACTGCTATCAAAACCTGTTCTCTTTAGTTTGCCTATACTAGTGCTTTTGGACAGTTGCTGTGATATGGAAGTTTTTTTTTTCTCTTTAAATGCAATCATTTATAATTTGTAAAAGCACAGTGGCCTAAGGTGAAATGAATGTAGCACCTTTTTTTTCTGAAGCAGTGCCAAATTAAAAATAACCTTGCTATTATAGTCTTAAAATGTAGTTGATTATTCACCAAAGTACCAATTAACATTAATCAGGATTGCAATTTTGACTGAGTGACTTTATTTTAATCAAAATTTGCAACTGTGAGTGTCTCAAACCAATTAACATTAATTCTGATCTATCATCCACTTCTTTTTTTTACAAAACTCATTTTATATTGCTTTAGAAATATTTTACAATATATTCTATGTTTCCAATACAAGATTTGTGCAGATTTCATTTACAAAAGACTCATAAACTAAGATACTAAGAATACAAATACCTATATGACATCCCTTACATTGTATGTCACCAATCATATATTTTTCAATGTAAATCTGTATAATCTTTCATTCAGAGCATTTCAGGATAATGGGATTTAAGCTCTTAACCTCTTTCCCACAATCTATCTTTAAAATTAATAGTTGCCTCTAGTCATGCTAATGAAACAAGATTACGTATATTGTATTTACACATAGCAACATTAAAGTAAATGACATATTTCTTACTGCTAATAGTGGGTGAGTCATTTAAATTCATGTATAAAAAACCAGAGGCCAATTCAGAGCTCCAAGGGTCTTAATACAAGGAAGAGAAGCTCTTTATTGTCAGAAGCCATTTTTTGTCAACAGCCCATGAGAGATCTACTAAAAATAAGCCTGTAAGCCCTCTCTCAACATTGCAATATATAGGCTCAACCCTGTAAAAATACAGGTGAATGTTTTACCTTAAATTTTGCAGAGTCACCAGTAGCTGAATCTATAGGGGAGGGAAAAAAAAAACACCAAAACATCACTTCAGTCAACATGGCACAAAGTTTTGTTTTTGCTCTAGACAATGCTGAAGTATGAAAGAAGACAAGCACAACAAAAGGTGAGAGCAAACAGATAAAAGAAAAATTAAATAATCAGAACAGTGGATAGTAATTGCTCACGAAGATGCAAGCTGCACCACAGAAAGCCACCGCCATGAAAAGATGCTGTGAGTTGGAGGCAGAATCAGCTCAATGACAGAAATGGCAAAAAAGCCCTTTCTTCTAAAACAGAAATACTAATATTTATTTAATGCTCTAAGCGCACGGCCCTGCAAAACCGCAGCTGGGGGACCTTTTTCAGGACTGCACTCTGTACATTCCAGCAAATGAAATGTACATTTAAAGCGTTATCTTTTCGTGCCTTAGACCGCTTACTGAAACAATTGTTAAAATTCTCTTTTTGCAGTTCTTGTTTGTATGCTGTCAAATTGTATTGGGCTTTATGGATTTAAAAGCCCCAGTTAACATTTCAGTGCTCCTCCGAGCTATTTGTTTAAGAATTTATCATCATTTAGATTTTTTTTTCCACAGCCATCAGTTTTGTACTCATCTCAAAAACAGAAGCGTCATTATGAAATGAAAAATGGATACCATAATTGTACTGTTCGGCAAAATAAAACAACAGAGGTTATACAATTAGAAAGGGGGTACGGAGGGGCTAGCAGAGTAACTAAAAGGCATTCTCCAACTTGCCAGGAGAGTGACCCCACTGGAGAATTAATGAGTTGAACCCCATGCCATGCCCCTTTTGACACATGGCTAATGACTAGAAAAACCAGTGGACCATACCATGCTATTTCTCCTCAGGGTCTGCTTCAGAAGTAACAAGAAACAGCAGAAATACTTTTAAAAAGTAGTATTGATCTGTTCAAATACTCTTGAAAGGATAAATTTACAGTACAGATCAACTAGAACTTTGTGCATTTACAAGAAACGGGGATTTCTGCAGACAAGGCAGCTACAATGTGGGCAACAATCCTCCTTCTTCCTACAGTTCCAGTTGTCCATCAGTGACACCACAGAGTCCACTAGTGACATCACCGTGTGATAGACTCCTCCCACTTCTCCTATTTCAACATCAGGATAGAGGGGCTGTTTCAATAATATGCTGAAAAAAGTTGTCTATAAACTAAAACACAAGCTAGAGACAAAGGAATAACATTTGGGATAAAAACATATTTAGTGAGACAAGTATGGTGGCAGTTTGCAGTATTATTACTTAGCTGAATAATAAGGTGGCAATCATAAAGGAGAAAAAGCGTTTAATAATGAACAAACATAATTAGTTGCAATATAATTTGGAAATATATACTTATTAGTCGAGCAAAATGAATTTCAAAATCTTGATTTGCCTTCCCAAGTTTAAAAAATTACTACCATTAGAACAGTGTGTAGAAGTTAAAGCTTTCTGCCTTCTTCTCAATGACTTACAAAGTAGTAGGTACCTTATCCATGTCATGTTAAAAAGTACATGGGTAACCATGGTCAATGATACACTAGTGAACATGCTGTTCTCATGGTCTAAGAATTATATTAGTTGCTGAGAAAGCATTCCAACCTACATCATGCAACATGCTCAACTCACTGCTGACCTTTAAATAATACACCTAAGATCATGTAGATAAAGGGAGAAATTGAGTTTATTAGCAAAGAAAGAAAAAGGAGACCATTATAATAGATCATCAGAAGAGAGAATTTTCTAACCTACAAACTGTCCAGGCAAGAGTTACCTGATACATCTCCAGGATATACTCCAATCCTTCCAATGTTGCTGAGTAAATGATCTATGCTTGGCACTGGCTGAGACTCTACTGTGTTTGCTTCCTGAACTCCTGTCTATAGTTAATAAACAAAGATTTCTTCATCATCAAGTCACAGTCAGTGGTTTCATCATGATTCAACAGTATATAGAAAAATTAGTCACCCGAGAACTGAAAAGAATGTCAATATTCCTATATGACATTTAAGGAAAAAGAAAAATATTCAAGCTGGCATATTAAATAGAGAAAAAACTATCCTGGAAGAGAAATTTACAACTTCATTATATATGCTATTTCGATTATTTCATGGATAAAACCATTGGTATGTTTTGGTGTGGAGAGGGCAAAAATCATATATTTATTTGTATGCTCTGAATTAAAACAGGAGAAGAATCCATTTAGTTAAGGTTAGTACTTACAAAAGGTTGTTCAGCATCATCTTCTGCGAAAAACCAGTCATGCTACAATTCAAAATAAAAGAAGTGAAAAACTCCCCAGAAATGAAAGAATTAAAACGTGGACATTGAAGAGATAAGGAGTAGTTTATGAAAAAATCAAAATCCAGACTGGTCTAACTAAAGATAAAGTTCTGTCTGAATAATCTGTCTAACAACATTAAATGAATTCACTTACTTTTTGGATAAGGGTTTCTACAATTCTGTATTGATCTGGCATATGAGTAACCATATTGGTCATGTTATCTTCAGATGTCCTCACAAGTGTTGGACCAAATACTATTGCCAGATTTCTTGGTTCCATCTAAAGAAGAAAGAAAATGATCGTACTTACAGCACATCATTGTACTTACATAAATGTCTATGTCTCTTTAAGCGCATCATTGTACTTACATAAATGTGTATGTCTCTTTAAAAAGCAGAAGCATCTAACAGTAGCAACCAATTTTGCTAAATTAACCTGAACTTCCTAGTTAGAAAGAAAATTCAAAATAAAAGCTGATCAGTGTATAAAACTGATTTATATACCAGATCAGGACAACTTGCTCTTTTTACTCTCTTCCTGAATCTAATAATCCTTTAATGTTCATAAACTAGGGTCTAGAAAGAGAAGTCTGGTTGAATCCGTTCTTCTCCTCAATCTAAGTACATCTAAATCTCAACATGTTATGAATCTTTAATTAAATCCTGAGCAGGTGATTTTCCTATGGACTATAGTACACTTTTTTTTCCTGCAATAAATCTTAAGCCTGTAACTACAGGACTGTTTCTTAGCCATATAATGGAGGAGCTATGGGTTCTGTGTACCTAAGCACATTATCTGTCCATCCAATATATGTGGAAAGAAAAGGAACCGACAAAACCCAATAATGTTTTTCCACAAAGGTTACAGATCAAGGTACACACCTTAAGAAAAAGACAACTAAAATAGTTTTGACCTATGAGACTAGGTGTCTTGTTTGCATTATTTCTACATGGGAAGCAACTTAATAAGATTTATTTTTCTCTCAAGGATAATGGCAGTCTTTGCTTCTTCATCCCACCCCCTACATTCTTACACTACTGGTTTTCCTATATGTTCACCCAGGGGTGGAATTCAACTGGTGTTACTACCGGTTTGGTTGACTATGTTTTGCGTGCGCAAGTTACCTTGTTCTCTTCTGAATGTTCTGCCACAATTCTCAGATGGGCACAGAGAAATCTAAGTGTTTCATAATGATGTTCAGGTAAATCATGGATCTGAAATGGATGATAGCAGCATAAAATTTTAAAATAATCCCAAAACATAACAAGGGTGTCTGATTCAATCCCTATCAAAAGCAACCTACCAAGTTTTTCAATGTTTTTAGTCGCTCAACGGGGTCTTCCTTTCTGTTGGCGTCTATGAAAGATGCATATCTCTCTAATAAGAAAGAAAATAATTTTATTGCAAGACTTGTTTGTATTACAACCCCTCTGGAGGAAAAAGTGGACCAGCTAAGCATAAACAATGGACTTACGTCACCAGAGTAACACAATGTTTTGCTTACTCTAACTTATTTCAACCAACGTGTATAGCCTGGATCCTCTGTATAAAAGTTCAGAAATACGACTTTGCAAAAATATGGATATAAACTGATACTGTGTGATGAAAAGCATGATGTGATTTGCATTTATAAAGAAATGCCATTTCAAACATATACAAAGTGGCTTTTATTTGACGTTGATCTCTCCTACTATGTATTTCATCTAGTTGTTGCCAATTTGTTTTAATAATCCACATAAGCGCCTCTGATCTTGCCATAGATAAATTATTCCTTGTATGCTTTTTTTCTCATGCTGAAACAAGTAACTAGAAAAACCCAGTAGCCCAAAGACTGTATATTAGCAGCAAGTGCACAGAAATAGGGCCATTAAAAGAAGGCAAGAAAGTAATTCTAATGTATTTTTAATATTTAATTCCCAACCATTAACTTCTGATGTAATTTATGACTCATCCACTCAAATCCAGTTCCCCAGCCACATATCGCAATCCACCGGGGTTCAAGACGTTTTCATTTGTTTGTCTTGTTTATAGAGATGGAAAATGGATGCACTCTACAGATTAATATGTGACTGGGAGGACCATATAGTATTTGAATTGTTGGCTACAACCTGTATATGAGAATACCTGAAGAAATATAATGAAAAGTCCAACAACTGGCAATTGCAGCAACCTGGAACTATTTATCCTGCTTAGCAATAGCTGTTCATAGCAGTTATAAGTCATATGCATCACCTTCAATATTTTTAAAAAAATTTCATTTAGAAAATTTATATTGCCGCCTATTTACACATGTCAACTCAAGGCAGCTTGCAAAGATATGTTTTCCAGGCTAAGCAGAATAAAACCTGTGCTTTCTGCATATAACCCAATAATATATACCTCTGAGCAAACAATCCATCCTTGTCTTTTTAAGAGAAATGGAAAGGAATCCTGATATATCTAAGCAATACTCAAATTAAGGAAAACAATGCTTAACTGAATTCTAAGAAAACTGTCTTCTTGATTAATTTATCACAGATAAGTTATGTGATGTGTCTTATTCAATAGTTTTTTCTTCTACTTTGAATCAAAACTTACCATTAGTAAAAAGTGGTTCTGGAAGCTTTCGGAGAAAGGACTTCAATAAACTACTTATGACATTCAGGTCTCTCCATTTCTAAAAATTAAGCAAACAAAACATTGTCATTAAAAAGAAATACCACGAGAATTTAAAACAGAGAGGGCAGAACTCACATCATCTTGAAGATCAATATCAGTCATTCCTTTGTTCAGATCTTCTTGCAAATTTGAGATGGCAACATTATTTCCTGGAACCCTATAAATACCAGTATATTGAAGACCTCTCTCTTCAACTAGCTTGCAGCATATTTCAACAATTCTTGGAATATACTGAAAAATCCAAAAGGGAATGAAAGTTTGTATTCACTATCTATGTCTCTTGAATAATATTTTTCAAAGAAATTATCAATATGCATGACTTCATTTTTTTTAAAAAAATACCTTATTGCTCTCTGCTGGGGGGCAATCAACTAGTTTGACACCAAATGTGCAAGCGGCAGATGACTTCTTTTCAAATGTTTTTTTCATGATGCTTGGAATGTTTTTTCGCCATATACTTTTATCTTTGGGTGGGCTTGTCTCATCTTTTTCTTCAAGGAAGAACAAAAAGGAAAACAAGTCATTTAAAACCTTCAGAAAGCTAATGGAGTATAACTGGATATAATGATCAAATGCACCATCAAAATAATAATGAGTATAAGATACTTAGTACATTTAAATCTTGAAACAGACTAGAGACTACAGCTTCTCCGCAATCAGGCCACAGGTTAACCACAACCTTAGCAACCAATGTCTAGCAATTATATTAACCCTGAACAGAATCAAATTTGGTAGCATCTGCAACCTATATGAACAGTACATAAATCAAACAATTTACAATTTGTATATCGACACAATCAACAAAATAATGTTTGTATGTGTATTTGTGTGTGTGCATGTTTATATGCATGTGCCCATGCTTATGTACATATGTGTATTTGTATACACTCACATACAGAGAAGAGAATATATATAAATAAAGAAGAAGAAAAGAGTAAAAGACTACAAATGAGTAAACAAGGATTTTACAAATCTCATGTAATTTCCAGTGTATCATTGCTTGATTTTGAAATGCCTGAATACATTATTCAGTCACTTGGTTGCGATGGGTGGCTGTAGAAATTGAATAAATAAATAAATGTCATTTTAAAAGCTTGAAATATCACTATTAAACTTTCAGCAAAGCGTAAATATCAAGAAGCATGGTTAGCACATTATGAACCATAAAATGAAATTGAGAACTCTGTCCGTGCTACTAAATCTATTTTAATTTAGAAGTCTTGTAAAATTAAAATACAAACTTTACACAGACAGAAACCCACATTTTGAATGTGGTACAAATTCATATATTGAACTGTAATTCAAGAAGGGGTTCTTATCTGTATTAAACTATGTTAAGATTTACTTTTAAGACATAATTATTTTTTGGAGGGGGATATATTCCTTATTAACCGAGTATCCATACTTAAATATCTCTTCTGGCTTTCAAGTAACTACCTAAGCTAGTAATTTTTAAAAAATATAATGCAATATTCTTATGAAACCTAATTAAAATATTTAGCAAAATAGCATGCTATATTTATTACATTTATATAAATAAGAAAACAATTAGATGTAAACAAGCAGCCTCGTTTTATAAAATTGGCTGCATTGAAAATTGCTACAATGAAAAACAAAATTGTAGTTCTGAGTATAGTAATCAGAGAATGATGGTTTTATTCCTACCGATCCCACTGCCATTTCCACTTTCCTTGACAGAAGATTGCAAATATCTCCAAAGCTTCGTGACTTCATAACAAAACAGAAGATACTCTGTATTTATCAACTTTCTTTCCCAAAATGATATGGAAATATCACAACTACAGAATGAAATGGTTCTATCCTTTTTATATAGGTATCCTTCCCTCCATTTGCCCTTTTCAGTCTATTTCATCCCACACGCATTCCCACTCCCTTTTCAATTCTACCCCACAGCATGCACATTTCAACTCATTATTTTCCAGATTGTTTCTATCTGGAGTTTCCTTATAAACAAGGAATAATCAAAAGTTCCCAGCACAAAAGGAGTTTCATCATTACTTATCAATGCATAGGATGTTTATTAAATGAACTTCTCTTAATAATCAATGAAACTCCAAACCCCATGACACTTAGTGTCCTCACCATCAGGCTTCCTTCAGTATAATAGGAAAACCTAGAGTAAGTAATAGTATTCTTATATTCAATATACAATACCTTTCGTAAGGAATTTCTTTTCTGATTCCTCCTTAGGAGAATGTGGACTCTGAGTTCTTTGCTCAGTTTTAGTGCCAAGGAATGTCTGTCTTTTAATTAGGCTCGGTCGGGATGGTTTTGAAAGTGGCTCAGTTTTGCCACTAGAAGCACTGAAAAAAAAATATTTAAAAGCAGGAAATCCATGTACTGACTAACTGAGCTCTCAAATGGTACTGTGGTGGCTTACCCCATAATTGTGCTGTATTCTTTAATCTTCTGACTAATTAGATCCCTGCTCGAGACACCTGTGTCCTGTAAAATGAATAGAGAATTATTTTGGAATTTCTGATTTGCACAACTGCACAAATGAAAACTTAACTAGTCATATTTGGGACAGGAGCGGGACATCCCTCAGATATGTGCAAGGCACAAGAGAATGGCTACACAAGAAAAATGGGGAAGTGCCCAGCACAACTGAATCCAAATGCAGTATAAATAAGGAATATCAAGGGAAAGGTGCCGGAGTAGACCCAGGCACAGAAGGAAAGGGAGGATTGGGCAAACTACATTTGGCTAGTTGTACCTTAAGGCTCTCCCAGTTTTGCTTAAATCCTGTCAATCTAAATGAACTGTATTTCATGTTAGCCGAACCATAATCTACTTGGAATAGTGTGGCCAATGTCAAAGATGTAATGATTCTTTTTGCTTCATATAGACTCTTACCAATATTACTTTCTCACATTTTAATGGATGTATTATTTCTCTGGTAGGAACACTGAAATTTCATGCAACTTTATAAAAAGCCTGTGAGATTATGGATTTTTAATACCATTAGATAATATTTGTAGCATGTCAGGGTTACCATGTGGAATTGCATAATGGGTCTGGAAAAAACACAATCTCTGCAAAATATAAGTAAGTAGGATAAATTCTTAACAAGAACACAACCTCCTCATTGCTGTTTTCACGTATAGCCTTAATCCATGCCAGCATGTCGTCTCTATTTTCAGCTTGAAACAGGTATTCACAGTCTGATGTAGTAAGCCGAAACACATGTTTCTTTTTGGTATCACTATATGAAATGTCTGTTAAACAAGCATTGATGTTGATGGGCTGTTCCTCCTCAGAAAGTATAGTTGGTTCTTTTTTATCCTTGTATAAGTATAATGAACACCCTCTGAGGATGACATACATCTGTTTCCATGGGCGGATGCTTCCACCAACTCTCTAGAAAATAGGATGAAGAATAATATTTATTTAAGAAAACAAGAGGAGTGTGCCCAGTATATTATGTGTTAAAATTTGTAAACTGCCTACTTTGGTGAGATGGGTGGTGTGGAAATTTGATAAATGGATAATAATAAAAAACACTGTCACCAAACAAACAGCCATGGTACACTGGTTAAAATGCAGTATGGCAGGCAAACTCTGCCCACTGCTAGGAGTTTGATCCCAACTAGCTCAAGATTGACTCAGCCTTCCAACCTTCTGAGATTGGTAATTTGCTGATATTTGTAAACTGCTCTGAAAGTGATTTAAAACAGGGGTCTCTAACCCTGATCAGCACCAGCATCGGACTGTAACATGCCAGCAACTGGGCCGTGCAAACAAGCAAACCCCCATCTGTGGAATGCAGGCAGCATACAAAACCACAACCCTGCAGGTCTGTGGAAAAGCCCTTCTCCATGGAACTGGTCCCTGGTGCCCAAAATGTTGGGGGCCAATGCTTTAAAGCACTCTAAGCTGATATAAGCTTTTTAATAGGTTACTTGTCATAATGCCAGTTGAATATTTTCTCAATCAAAAATGACAAATTATCAAGGAGTACAAATAGACAGGACTTGTTTTTATATCACTTAGAATTTTTACATTCAAACATAAAAAATATCCTAATAATTTATCTGTGTCAGTAGCCCAAAAAATCTCTTATGGTGAAAATATCAGTAAGATAAGCAATGGAATTGCAGAGCACTGAGTTGCAAAGAATCATTTAATAGTGTTTAATGTTTATAAGTTCGTTTTAACAGTTCAAGAACAGGAAGATTGCAATAACTGTACCAGGTCTATGCAGATTAACGGGAAAGTTTGAAAAGTTGAGTTTCTGCCAAAAGAAAAACAAGCAAGTTTCTAGTATTTTTCATAGAAAATGAAAAACCTGTAGGCACCTGAAAACATTTGAATATGTATAAGAAGGCAGATTTTACACTTAGCTTGGTTTGGAAAAACTGTACCTTCCCCTTGTCTGTAACCAGCTGCCGAAAATGAAGATATCCTTCTTTGGCGGTGTCACAAAAGACTTCTGAAGCAGATGTTTTTCTGAATCCTGCATTTTCTGAAGATGCTTCATTATTTGGAATCTAAAGAAAACATAATCAAACCAGGTTCAGCATGCTCTAATAATTCAAGTCTTCCTCTCCTCTCCCTTTCATCTGTCAGGTGGGAATACAGACAACTAGCATGAAGAGGAACTTAACACTAATGGAACAGTACATTCCAGTCAGCCAGCAGCTCAATGAATTACAGAAAAGGCCTGTCATATATCTCAATCAGTTGGTTTTCTTTTGATGCACAAGGAAGTAGTAACAATTCTTAAGTTAATTACAGCGTGGGCTGTCCTGTCTGTAGCCAAAAAAGAACTTTTTCATCAAATGCTATCTAATATTTTTAATTGGCAAAAGTCAGCAACATCTGTCCACTAAGCTTGGACATTAACCCAAAAAGAAAAAAGAAACACCCCACAATTAACCATATTCTCATAAACCTAGGTGCAATTTAATGCTTAGTCATGCAATACTAATGTTATTTACACAGCAGATAATATTGAAAATAAAGTAACTGACCTTAATTGCCTTTAAGCTCGGTGAATGCTTTATGGCCCTATAGATGTAAGGTAGATATTTTAGTGTACTTTTTTATACAAAATTCCTAAATAAGACACCCAGTGAAGCACATTTATATTTTTATAGGTATTCTTACCCTTTTCCTTCTTTATAGTCATCGAGTCCTTCACCATAAGATTTGGACCTTTCATTTTTTCCAGGAAATTGCTCATCTAGGACACTAGTCCTAATTGATTCTGTAACCAAAGCAAAAGCAAATCCCCATCTTTTAAAATAAGCAGCTGTTGTTGAATTTAGGTAAAACAGCTTGAAACACTATACTAACCATGGCCAGAAGAGAGTTGACGTCGAATAAATGGTACAAGAGCAGTACAACTCAAAGGAACAGCACTGGTGGTAGCCATTGCTCGTGAAGGAGGTGGCGAAATAACAGCAGAAGCTGGAATGTGGGTGATGTCCAGGTCAATACTTGGACTGGTCAGCTCATCTACAAAAGGTATACAACAAATTAGTATATTTTAGTAAAAAGGGATAAGTGTTTGCTCAATATGGAAAAGCTAGGAGGGTCTTCCAGCCGTATCCAGAATACATGTTGGTATAGCATAATGTTCTGAAGGTACTTTTGGACACACTGTATATGAGAAACTGCTTGCAATTATAACAGCAAAAGTACTATTTCTTCTTCTTTTAAAGTCTAAGAATGTATTCATTAACAACTATATTATTATAGGCAAAATATGCATTATACAAGATTTGGACAAATATTGAATTGAACAAAGACTCAGTTGAATCAATACAGTGTCATTAGAAAAGCTTTGAATAACAGGGCTATCTATATTTTAAATAAAATAAATTTGTCAAAATCTTTTAAATAGACCAACCTTTTTAATAGATAGACTATCAATTGGCTGGCATAAATAAGATTTCAAAATGAATGCAACAGTAAAATAAAACTATTTTAAAGTTCACCCAAAATAGCAACCCCATTTATTATAATGAACCTTCTGCAAAAGAAGGGAATTATTCTTACAGAAAATCTAAGAAGCTAAAATTACCCAATGAACCTTTTAAAATAATCAAATCCACAACATAATCTCTGAAATATCAACATCTGCTATGCTACATGCCGATTATAGCATCTAGTAACTGCCGATATAATTTGTCACAGGCTGTACATATCCAACATCTTGTAGTTTCTATTGCCATCAAAGCCATCCTTCATATTCTGAAGCTTAAATGTTTTGAAAGGTTGTCAGAGTTCTAGAAATTGTCAAAATCTAAAATAGTTCCACAAAATAATAAAAAGCCTATCTTTGAAATAGCAATTAGGGCTTCTCATTGTAGCTTCCATATGTAAGACAGAATTATAAAGAAACCAAGACTGTGAATGTGAGCATTTTGTCTTGTGATTATATATGTGTGTGTGTGTGTGTGTTCGCGCGCACGCTTTTAAGGTTGTAGCAACGTTTCGGCAGAATCTCATCTACCATCATCAGGCTTCTGTATTGTGTTCGTCTGTCTACAGAAGCCTGATGATAGCAGATGAGATTCTGCCGAAACGTTGCTACAACTTTAAAATCACAACTATAATGATGTGGGAAAATACCCGAACAAAGCTGAATACCGTACATGTAAGTACCCGTGAAAACTTAAGAAAACATGTATATGTATATGTATATCTTCTAGGTGTTGTGCATTCTAATATGGTGTGTTGCTGATATTTGCAAACTGCTCAGAGAGTGAAAGGCCCTCGTATGAACAAATCAGCACATATTGCATTGTGGTTTCAAAGCAATTGGGGGCTCTGATTTAAGGAGACATGGTTTATACTCCAAAATGTATATCTGTAAAAAAAAGGAAGATTTTTTATAATCTATAAAATAGGTCCTTGATATATCTTCTCAACATAAGCTTCTAGAAAGAATAATAACAAAATAAGGCATGTTATTTTTATGCTTCAAGCTTCATTCACATTCAATATCTTGACCAAGAAATGCTTTATTTGGACCAAATCAAGCCATATTGTAGACTGTGCTATTACATTGCACAATTTCTCAGAATAACAGCATTTCTCTTTAAAATTATAAGGAATCCTCAAAACCAAAGCTACCAGTAATTATATATAACTGAAAGTAAAAAGGTTGATAAAAATTAGTTCTATTGTACCATCAGGCAAAGAAACATGCCTACAGTTCCATCAGCTGATATACAAGTCTTTGACCCAAGACACTGTCCATTTGTTCAAAATACTCAAAGCAGTCTTCCTGCAATGAGCTTCACATTAGCCAATCTGTAATGCAGTAGAATGTGGAGTTATAGCTGAGGAAGCCATAATATCCTAATATTTGTGTCATTTCATGGCCTCTTTTTGACCAGCCAATAATTAAGATGCCAATCTTTCAGAAGCCTTCATTGTTTTACTTACAAAAACTAATCAAATTATGTTGAACAGACTCTACTTTGGTTTCAGTATGTTGTGTGATATTCAGATAAAGCTATATCACAACCAATTAGACAAAATCTTCTAAAAATTATGAGAGTTAAAGGTCAGCTTTAAAAAGCCTCTTGATGCTTTAAAGGTAAAAACTGCAATTTTATTGTAAGGTGATCACAGAGTATAAAATTTCCAAATGAACTTTTTTTTATATATATGTATAATTCAATATTACAGCTAGGGCCACTTCCCCTCCTAAAATCCAAGGGAGTTTAGCCTGCCTTCCTGAAAAAGAAACCTTTTGAGAAGCTTAAAGGGGCTTCCAAAGTAGTTTACAACATAGTAGTTTCTGCTCTCCAAAACCTTAAGCCCCAGGGATATGCTCCTATCTATTTGATATTAATATAACTATATATTGCTTACAAGTATCAGTCAGAGGCAACATGAGAAATGATTTTAAAATAATTATTCTAGCTCTAAATCCTCATGTGCGCTTTGTGTGATATGCAGGTTGCAAAAGAGAAATAAGGCAAACTCCAAAGTCTTTGTAAAAGCAGCCCATCAGTGAAATCAGGATTTTTTCTGAAATGGCTACAGTATTTCGAAAGGCTTCAAACAAGTAGTCAAAATAATCTGCACAAATTATCAGAGATCCAGTTAGGAAAATGGCTGTGAAGTCCACATGCTGGAGAAAAAAAGTAAGACATTATTATTGTTTCAAAGCTTTATGATTGATAATGAATTTTGAAGCAATTTAACAATCTTACACAATTAAGGACACTGGGGAAACAACTCACCATGCTACACATTAGCCATATTAGACCTCAAAAAGAGAAAACTGGAATCATTCTTCATTGGTCTTCCTCTAGTTTTAGTCTTATTTTTGTGTGTGTACAAAAATGTGGTCTAAAATGATTGAAAATCTGATCTGAGAATAAACTGGTAGAATGTTTAAGAATTGTAGAAGGCACCATGGAGTTTGAATGCCTTTTTTAAATTATTGTTTAGAAAACTAATTACACTGAACAAAACAATGTATTTATGCAAAAGGATTAAATGGAAGATCCAAATATGTATCAAATTCAGAGAAATAAAAATGGTTTTTCTCACCTATGAATGGAATTGATGCCAAGGAATCGTAGGGTGTGCAGGAACAAGAGGCTTTCCTTTCTTCTATTTTTCTTATATGAACTTCTCGCCGTGCATCATTGGGTAACCAACAAGTGGTCTCAGAGGCAGAGTCCTGACCATTTACAGCTAAAATATAGGACTGATGTCGCAGAAGTTGTGGGGTTTGATGGCCAGAAGATGACTTTTCCCGCAAAACCACTTCCTCCTCATTTGTCTCATCTCTTGGTTGAACTTGAGGCGGTTTTATAGCTTCCGTTTCAAAATTTTGAATCTTTTGTCTGACAGAAACATCTAAATTAACCAAAGTTAAGTGCTCATTAACTTGTGGGACAAATTTGACAGAAGATGTATAGGAAATGGGAGAAAGATTAGACTTGCTTATGTCTAGTTCGGGATCTGGTGGACTTTCTGCATTTTTCCTGGATTGTTGAGTTGGCAAACCACTATAGTGCACATAATTAATTTCTCTTTGGTCTGTGGTTGTAGCACTCTCCAGACTCTGATTAGAAGGAAATGATGGCTTTGCTGCATAATGTACATAGGTCTTCAAAGAACTAATTTTTGTGCTTGTAGTTGTTGTACGAGGTGATCTTTCCTGAAAAGTGGTTGTAGAGTTTGAATCTCCAGTGGCTGGCAAATCCTTGGAAGGTTGCAGCAATTTTACATCTGCTGAATTTTTCTGGAATTGAGCAAAGGGTCGAAAGGCTTGGTTGCTTATTTGGCTGTCACCTGGAGGATAAGCACCAGGAGCCACAGAAAAATTTGAATCACTACGGGACCCCTGAAACATAGGTTGCCCTGAAATTTTATAAATGCCTTGAGGATCATTTTGATCAGTAAATCCAGTACATTCATGTGTAATTTTTTGGGCTGTGCTTGAATCTGCAATGAGGTCCTCACTGTGAACCTTTTCCACGGCTTCACCTTGTCTGCCTAAATAGTTCCAGGAGCGTACCCTACGACTTCGAGGGCTAATAACTGGTGAAGTTAAAGTATCTTGCGAAGCACTTCTTGGCCATCTTTTGATTAAGACAGTATCCTTAACTCTTTCCTGGGATATACTCCTTTGCCGAACAGATACAGACTGTGAGCTCCTATCATGAGAGGTGCTTCTGCAGCGTACCTGTGAGCCAATACAGTAATCTACTGAATGTGAAGATGTGGCTCTAAAACTATCTAGCCTCTCCTGTATGGTTCTGAAACCATACTTGGGAAAGCGTTTGTTTTCAATATATTCTTTATAGGTTTTGTAAGTTTTCCAGTCTATGTTATGATGGGCACTTGGAGAAGTGGTGTGATTATTATTAACAGAGGGAGAATCTCCACTCTGAGCAGGAGAACTCCAACCTGAAGCTCCTTCTGGCTGTCCTTCATAGTTTCCAGAATAATTAGCTGTTGCTGGGGAATCCGTTGGTTTTGTAAGGGGAGTCTGAGGAAGTACAATGGCAGTGGACATCGAAGAGGAAGGTGAAGTGGCTCGTGGTTTTGCTTTTACAGAGGTTTGTTCCTTGAAACTCTCTGCCTGGTGTGATGGATTAGTGTGGTTTGTTCTAACTGATGAAAAGTCTACATCGTTCTCAGAAGGCACAACAACTGTTCTTATGGTCTCATTACAAACACAGACAGCTGTGTTAGATTTTGCAATATCTTTTGAAAATGGAGGCACTTGTATTTCCTTTCTGCAGGCCTTTTCAGGTTGTGCTAATGTCGGTACAGCTCTACTATTTGACTGCTTTCCCAGTGATAAGTCAGGAGGTGCTTTCTCCATGGGTAATGCCAGGACAGGAGCTGGATATGTTAATCGAGGATAACTTATTGGTGGAGGCTCAGGTATGTAAAGAGCATTACCAGTGTAGGCTTCATTGCCCTTCTGGTAAGCATCCTGGGAATATGCCTGTGCAAGAAAATTTAAAAAGAAATTAAATCACTGTAAGAATTTAGTGGGAAACCATCACGCTATCTCAGAGGCACGAAAATGGCAAAGTTAAATTCCCTGACAGAAATGGACTTCCTATTTAAAAAGAGTGAAATAGGTTCTCTCTACTAAGGGTTCTTTCAATATTTTTCTATTATTGTTTTCCATGGAAAACATAGTAAAAATATGCATGAAATGTCTCCAAAAAGGAAGCATGTTATTCCCCCCCCCCCGTGTGTGTATGTGTGTGTGTGATGTTTATCTATCAAATTGTAGCAAGTGCTGCAAGCGATTAAAAAAAAGAGAGATTATACATATAAACTATTTTTCCGCCATGACATTTTAAAATTTCTTCTCCCCCCTCTTGATATTTTTTATAACTAGAGACTAGGTTTCTATAAATATCGACAGGTTAAATTTGCAGTTTGTTGTCACATAGAAACAGCAAGAAGCCCCTGCATTTGATCCACTGGCTTTTCTAAAAGGCACAATTCCTGTATCTAACATGACTAGACAGTGGCAATGTCTTTGTTGCCAGCCAACGCCCACCCTCCCTCTGAATAAACTTACATGTTACTTATAAAAATTCCATACTCTTCACAGTAATGCCATTTTTTAAACTCAAAGATATCCTGAATGTACATTATTGGTAAGTATTTTCAAGCACTCCATAGCATGAAACACGGACTGTCTTAAGGTAATTTTTCCTTATATACTTCATCATTTTCATCTTGTACTTTAAAAATATGATTCTTAAAGAAACATTTATTTTAAATTTTGCATTATTTCTTTTATATTACGTTATTTGTATCACTATCAACAATAGCATATTTTCAAGGTCTGCCCAGAAATTACAAACACTATTATTTTACACTTTGCAGTCAATACTTTCTGAAGTAGTAATTAAAAAAAAGAATTGACAATGAAGGAATCCTTTCCTGATGCTTTTAAAATAAAAAACATAGCCTGTGTGTGATACTGTATTACAGCATTTCCTGCTAAACCATAACATGCTCCATTCAGAGAAATCAACATGGACTGCCTTAGCATTAGACAGGTTGTACAAGCCTAAATGCAATCATAAACATTAGATCAAGAACAAGTGCTAAGGATGAAAAGGCGAGCTGTTTAAAACACATAGCTTGATAAATTTTACCACGAGCAATAGTTAAATGCAAACAAAGTATTATAAGCTTTTTCTTTTTAAAAAATGCAAAATTTTAACACAGGCATACATTAAAGTGATAACAGGATAGCTATTACAATTGAGATTCAGCTAGCCAGCAGATCTAGCTTGCTTTCAGCAACTTGCAGGCTTTAACAATCCATCTCCTTGCAAATTTATGAAGAAATACATGCGTTACAAAAAAAAAAAAAAAAAAATCAGAGAAATGGCTACAGTACACTCTTACCAGTGCTCTGATATCCTTTGAAAACTGCAGCTGCCACAAAACAGGAAAACATAGTAAAAGCTGCCTATATATGTAAAGATAGAATTATGTTGTCACATTGAAGCCGAATACACAGCAAGCTAAAAATACAGCTACACCGATTTCTCTGGAAGGTACCAAGACGGCTGAGGTGCACTGGAGCGCACACAATAACTTCAGCCTTCTTGTGAGCCTGTCAGTCTCAGGTTTTTTTAAATACCTGCTTCGTGCATTTATTCCCTAGCTTTCCAGAAAAAAAGAAAACACGTTAGTGCTGTATGCTTCAGTGCATCTTTCATGCTGCAAACGGAGCCCTCTGCTTGTGCCACAAGGCATCCCTTCTGCTACAGCAACATACCAGTCTTTCATCTCGCCTAAGCTGCTACCATCCCTGCTTCCAGATGACAAAACAAGGGCTTTATTATGCATTTTAAATCTGTGCACCCCTTCCTCTCATAAATTTGAACAGAGCCACAAGTTGTCAGCTGACTCTACATCTGACATTAGAAAGATGATTTCAGAATAATTTTCATTAAAAAAAAAAAACTCCCACCATGTGATTATTTTCATTTTGTATATCTTTGCTGTTCCTTTCCTGACAAATTAGGAATTAGCTGTGTTTCAATTGCAAGGTATATTTTCATGCATTAGCTATACCAGAAAATATACATTCTGCATTTGTGTGTTTCTCAGATTAGGAGAAAAAAACAGGGAAAGCAGATACACTGAAAAAATGCATCTGGAAAATTAAGCAATGGTGCATTCTAAGGAAACAACATACTGAGTGACATTCCAAAATATGCCTATACTGCCTCCCTAGTCTAATGTAGGTACAAATATTTATTCTTAAACCTGCACCTTTGCAAAATTCTGGAAAAACAGGCATTTAAAAAAGATTGAAAAAAGTTTAATGCTGTAAGGCTGATATAATCATCAGCTGAAAGCAATTTCCTAATTCATTTTCTATTAGCACAAAGGGGAAAATATTAAAAACCACAAAAAGTTTAAAATATATAAGAAGATGTCACATACATTTGAAGCGAAATATTCTGGAAATCAGGACCTTTCGGAGTAGGCAGCCATAAGAAATTTAGGTAATTTATTATTTAGATAATTAATCAATAAGTTATTTGTTAGTAACTATTGTGGAAAAATAACTTCTGTATATATCTTTCCTTTTTCTTGCACTACTTTTCATGGCTTTTTTGTCTTACTTTTACTTCATATAAATTCATGTTTATCTTTTATTTCTAGGTAAATCTCCAAAGGTTAAGGCACCAAGAGAGAAGAAGTCAGATGACTGTGAGTTCTAATCCTGCCTTAGAAATGAAATGAGCTGGATGATTTTAGGCCAGTCACTCTCTTGAAATCTGATTCACTTCGTAGAGTTGTGGGGAAAATAGGACAAGGAATGAGTATTAAATATGTTTGCTCCCTTTCGCTATTTATGGCAATAACAAGTGTTTGATAAACATTCTAAATAACAATGATCAAAGCTGAATATACAGCCAAGATGTCCCAAAGGTGCTTTTTTTCAAGAGGCAACTGGATTTTCTGGTTTTTCGTTGAAGACATTTCACTTCTCATCCAAGAAACTTCTTCAGCTCTGACTGGATGGTGGGGAATACCTCACCATCTAGTCAAAGCTGAAGAAGCTTCTTGGATGAGAAGTGAAATGTCTTCAAAGAAAAACCAGAAAATCCAGTTGCCTCTTGAAAAAAGCACTTTGGGGACAACCATGACCTGGGTGATTGAGAGTCGCCATAGACATACAGCCAAGATATTGCAGTGGAGTTTGGATTGGACAAACGTGCTATCCTTACCATCAACAGGGGGAAAATAGTGAAAAGGATCAGAACCAAGATGCCCTGGGGAAATCACATCAAAACTATGGATGAAGAAGCTCACTACGTATACCTGGGCATCGTTCAGGAGGACTACACCAGGTACACTGATGTAAAGAAGTTTAGCACAGGTAATCCTCAAGTTACGAGCACAATAGAGCCCGGATTCATGTTGCTAAGCGAAACATTTGTCAAGTGAATTTTGCCCCTTTCTACAAATTTTCTTGCCATAGTTGTTTGTGAATCACTGCAGTTGTTAAATTAATAACATGGTTTATTAAGTGAAACCAGCTTCCCCATTGACTTTGCTTACCAGAAAGGCAGTGACCCTAGGACACTGCAATCATCATAAATATGAACCAGCGTCTGAATTTTGATTACACGACCAGGGGATGCTGCAATGGTTGCAAATGTGTAAGATGGTCATAAGTCACTTTTTTCAGTGCCACTGTAACTTTGAATAGTCATTAAATGAACTGTTGTAAGTTAAGGACTCCCTGTAACGAATACATCAGAAAATAAAGAAGACCTTAGTCCAAACTAGGTGGCAGAAATAGCATCAAGATGATTAATACCTGGGCATTCTAGTCATTAGATGTACAATTGAACAACTGGAGTAGACTCAAACTATCAACTGGAAGCCTTCAATAGGAAGACCAGAAACAATAAATCGTCCCCTTCATCCACATAGTAATGTTGACAGACCAAGGAGCCTTGCTGGGGGTGAAATGTTGCTAGCACTCCAGACAGTTGAAGGAAAAAGGCCATTGGAAGATGATCTGAAGGACAGTGAAAAATATTTGCTGAAGCTAGGACACCATGAAGGCTTATTGAATAGCAGAAACCAAGCTGGCCTTTAAGAAAGTCCAAATGAAGCCAGAAAAGAGAAATGGCAGAGCAAAGTATTACACAGCCTGCTCATAAAAAGCCAACACGTACAGTAAATAGCAACCAGATCTGCCAACGGCTAGCAGCAGGAAAGCTAAAGAAAGAGACAGCTAATTCTGACAGAATAAGACCAAGCCTAAAGAAAAAAATACATATAAAGCCAGAATTAAGATGACAGCAGCTGACATGAAATGCCCTCTCTGCAAAGAAAACGGAAGAAACAGTGGACCACATTATTAGCGGGGGTGGGATTCTACCAGTTCGCACCTATTCGCTAGAACCTGCTGTTAACATTCTAAGCAGTCCAGAGAACTGGTTGTTAAAAGAAATTACTGGCCTAATCCTGTAAGGAAGGCAGGAAGGAAACATTCTGGTGTTGCTTACAGAAACTGCCTCTCCGTTAACCCTTATTACATTCTTGGCAGGACTAGACTTCCTGTCTCTGGAACTTCTCTGGAGTTTTTTCCCCCTCCTTTGTTGGTAATTTGCTTGTGACCATTCAAGGTTACAATGGCACTGAGAAAAGTGACTTATGACCCTTTTTCACACTTACAGCAGCATCCCCACTGTCATGAGAGGCCAGGCGAGGAGATGCATGCCTCGATGTGAGTGATGTTGAGTTGGCCACGCCCAGCCAGTCACATGACTACCAAGCCATGTCCACCCAGTCACATGACCACAAACCACACCCACCAACTAAGCCACGCCCACAAAACCAGTTGGTAAAAAAATTGAATCCCACCCCTGATCATTAGCTGCTGCATGATTGCACAGGCTCATTACAAAGTAGCAACATAACAAAGTAGCAACAATGGTGCACTGGAATAGCTGCTAGAAATATTGTTTGTTGCATGCAAGATCTGGTGAGACAACAAAGAAAATATAAAATAAAGAAGCTTGAATTACTGTCACCAGACTTAGAGTGTGAATCTCATCAGTGCATTGTGAAGCACACACCAAACATTTGTTGATTAGAAAGACAAAAAAGTCTGTGGATAGTGGTTGTGGCAATACTTGTAGACAGCAAAACAGAAGAGAAAGAACTGGAGAAAATTACAAAATACAAACACCTGCAAATAGAAAGAGAATGGCTCGGCCAAAAAAACAACAACACGCTAATGATAGAACCAGGGATAAAAGATGTCTTGGGTGCAATTCCAAAACATCTGGAGCACTCTTCGAACACTATCTTCATTGACCAGATAATTTTCAGTCAATTTCAAAAGTCAGTTATTTGGAACAGCTTGTATCTTGCGATAATATCTTTAATATTATTAAACAAAAACATTCCCTGTCCCAGGTGCATGGGAAAGATTCAATAGGTAAGCAAAAATGCAGTATCCAATCTAAACAACTGACTATGTGGCCAACCATAAATGTCGTGAAATCACAAACTCTATTGGATATGTTACCAAATCCCATCAAGCCAGGCTGTTCACCAACCCTAAAGATACAGGTAATTCTCAACTTACAACAGTTCGTTTAGTGACCTTTCAGCCTGAAAAACAGTGATTTATGGCAGTTTTTCACATTTATGACTGTTGCAGTATCGCCATGGTCACCTGATCAAAATTCAAAGGCTTGGCAACTGACTATGACAGCTGCGGGGTTCTGGGCTCATGTGATCATCTTTTATGACCTTCTGACAAGCAAAGTCAATGGGGAAGCCAGATTTGCTTAATAACTGTGGTAAGAACGGTCGTAAACTGGGAGCAAAATTCACTGTCAACAACTGTCTTGCTCAGCAACATAAATGTTGGGGTCAATTGTAGTCGTACATCAAGGAAAATCTGTAATGATTGTTGATGTCCGGTAAACCTAATACTTTAATATATTGAAAACACAGTAGGATTAAGGATTAAATTATGGTTTGTTAATCTTGTATGCCACCTACAGTCACTCTGTGTGAGTTGGGTGGATACATAAATTTGTTAAACCAAACAATCATCAATCACTTATATTTTGAAGAAAAGTATTTTATTTTGAATGAATTTAAAACCAGCACCTTAAATGCTAGAAGTAATCATTTTAAACCGCATCCTGTATTTCTGAATATAAAGACATATTTATTTTGAAAAATTAACTGGAAACATTCATGCCTGAACATATACGCATAGATCATCTTAAAGCATAAAAAGGGAACTTTTTTGCCTTTTCTAAAAGTTAAAGACACATACTCTTGCAAAGTGTAGGTAGATACCAGGTCAAATTGGTTGCGTAAAAAAATGGATAAACAGTTGTACCATAGAAATTAATAAACCATAAGCCTTTTTTGCATGGGGAGAAATAATTATTCTTGTCACACACTGATATAGTTTAAGCTTTTTTGGAGCTTGTATTTTAATGTTGTGAATAAAATAAAAATTTATTGAAAAAAAGTCAGACACATAGTTTTGCAAAGTTTAACTGGAAGTAATCCATCAAAAAGCAAAAAAAAAAACAAAACATCCCAAACATTACAACATTTCCTATTTTGAGCCTTTCTGAGGGAAAATAACAGGTGGTAAAAGCTTTGGACAACTATGTACAAAATTACTTAAGGCTAATTCCAACACCCTAATTTTATTTTACTTTGAATTATTTTTGTAAACAGCAATGACTCAGGATGTTAGCATGACCCAGACTCTGAAAGCCTGCATTATAAAAATACTTCATCATTGTCTGATGAATTGTTGACGTGAGCAAGAAGAACAAATTAAGTGGTACATAGAAACTACTCAGTAAAAACCTTTCTGTAGATTTACCAGACCCGAAGTTCTCTAGACCATCATAAGTATTCTAACAAGCTGAATTGGCAACCTCCTTATATTGTGTGGAGGAAGACAAAAAGTCACTTTCAATTTGGCTCCGATGTTTGATAATGAGGAAAGATTTTTATGATTCAAGCTTTCAGTGTCTGGGTCATGATAACACCTTAATCGTAATACTTGCTGCAAAACTTAGAATAACAGATGGTATGACAATCTCCCAGGATGCTTGGTTCATGAGTCCAGAGTGTCTTTCTTCTAGGCCTTTCTTAGGGAGGCCCAAGGATGAATTTTACATCCGAACAAATCAGCCTGCATGCTGCTTGAACAAGACTCCTACTTCTGCCCCAAAGCTAGTTAAAAATCAAGTTATGCCAGAAGGCTTCTAGATGTTAACTATAATGATAGTGATATTGTATTATGTTTTATTCATTGCTATAGGTAACTTATAGATAACTTGTAGGTTCAAATTCTGTCAATGGGGAAGCCAGGTTCACTTAATAACTTACTGATATGTTATTAACAAAAGCAGTGATTCACTTAATAACTGTGGCAAAAAAGGTTGTAAAATGAGGCAAAACTCACTTAACAACTGAATTGCTTAGTAACAAAAGTTTTGGGGCCAATTGTGGTCATAAGTTGAAGACTATGTATACATTTGTTTAGTATCCTTTTCAAGCTAATAACATTTATAAAACATTATAGAAACTTTATTGATTTAGTGATTTGACCATACCAAAGTATAAAATATTAATAAACAAGTAGATAGAAAGAAACAATGGGACTTGTTCACAATATGTCAGCACCCCAGCAGTTAATATCAAACTGATCTAAACTTTCTATCCTCTTTGTTGAGCCAGCTACTATACAGACTTAAAATATTTAAGTGATACAATATAATATTGGGACAGTTACATTAGTGATTCTTTGTTTGAACATTTTGCTGGCCTATAGTTCTAATTGAAAATTGGATGGAGAATCCATATTGTGAGATGACCCTTTTGAAAGCAGAATGTTAGGTCATCTCAAGGTAGCATGTCATGAAACTGTTCCTCCAAAGACAGCTTGGGTGTTTTCTATCTGGATCCATAGAAAGGAAATTCAGCCAGTAGGCGGGTTTGTCTTGGGCAGGGTCCCCAAACATGGCAACTTTAAGACTTGTGGACTTCAACTGCCAGAATTCTCCAGCCAGCTGACTGGAGATTCTGGCAGTTGAAGTCCACCAGTCTTAAAGTTGCCAAGTTTGGAGACCTCTGGTATAGGGGTTATACCAAAACCTGCATTTACTGCTGGAGTTGGTATAGATTTATCCATCCCCAAGATACATTTGAGAAGAATAGACTACATCTGTTCCATAAGAAGGCAACATACTGTATTTTTCGCTCCATAAGATTCACTTCCCCCCCCCCAAAAAAAGGTGGGTGGAAATGTCTGTGTGTCTTATGAATATTAGAGTGGGGTTGGTGTGGGGGCAGCAAAAGGCAGCAGCAGCGCACAGTGGCAGCAATCTCCGCTGCCTGGAACAGCTGATTGACGGTATTCCGGGAGGCTGATCCACCCAGCTGATCAGCTGCTCAGCAGTGAAGGTTGCAGCATTTCCCGGCAGAGGCAACAGACATGGAGGAGGCAGCAACTTTCCCCCCTGTTTTCCTCCTCTAAACCTAGGTGCGTCTTATAGTGCCAAAAAAATGGTAATTTATATTCATTTCACTAAAATGAACTAGGAAATACAAAAAGTATTTTTTTTCCTCTAGTTCATTTTTACCTACTTTTTATAGCACTAAAATTGCAAAAAAAAAAAAAGAAATAAAGTAAAATAAGAGGGGTAGGTGAAAATTTATAAATACAGAAATAGTTCAATAGTTCAATAATTCAATGTTTCATTACATTTAATATGCTAATTGAAGACTTGAATCTCTTTTGCAGGAATATTATGTAAACTTTAATTTTAGATTTTAGATCAGAAATGTAACTTACAAGTTGAAGAATGTCCTCATCTTTTGGCATAACACTGAGTTCCAACTCATCATCACTGTGGGAAAAATAAACACACAACTTTATTATCAAGGAAATAAATTAATATATTAACAATTTGAGAAGGAGTTTCATTTCTAGCCATAAAAAAAGAAATATTAATAACTTTAATAACTACTTTTTCAAAAAATCCAGAGAATATAACAAAAACTCAGCACAGAATATAAATATTTATTTCTCTTAACACTATTTGCTATGAGTCATTGATATTTCTTAAAGCACAACTCATGCATTCATTTTCAAAATTACCTACATGCAGATAATTTATTATACAAAAATAAATGATGAAACTAATGTATTCCTGCCACTTAGAAAAATAAATTTAATTAATTAAATTAAAAGAAAAGAAAACATTTAGGTATCTCCTGTTCATACTGTAGTTTCCAGTGTAAACACAAGTAGTCCTTGACTTACCACGACAACAGAGCCCAAAATTTCTGTTGCTAAATTAGAAAATCCTTAAGTGAGTTCTGCCCCTTTTTATGACCTCTCTTGCTTGCCATGATCGTTAAGTGAATCACCGTGGCTGTTAAGGTAGTAACACTAGCAGGATTACATGAATTTGGCTTCCCCGTTGGCTTTGCTTCTCAAAAGGTTGCAAAAGGGGATCATATGACCCTGGGATGCTGCAACGGTCATAAATAGGAACCAGGTGCAAAACATCTGAGTTTAGATCACATAACCACGGGAATGATGCAACAGTCGTCAGTGTGAAAAAGAGTAATGTCACTTTTTTCAGTACTGTTGTCACTTTGAATGGTCACTAAATGGCTGTAAGTCGAGGACTACCTATATGAAGGCATGAGGCAGGGACGAATCCTAGGAAAATGTGCCTCTGTTGTTTCATCTTCAATCTCCATATGGAATAATATGGATTTCCAAGGAGCTCTTTTAATGATTCAAAGAAAGCTTCTGTGCTTGTATTGCCACATTGCAAAACACCTCTTTCAAAAGATTTGATCAATTCCAGAAACAGTAATATTACACATACAGATCGGACATAGGGAATATAAGAATATAATAGTAAAAAGTACTCGTAGGATTTTAGCTAAAATTGGCAGTTTTGCAGATCAGACTGTCATAAACTGTCCCAATATCAATTACAAAACAGGACATGTACATTAGTTACTGACTTGATTGATGCCACCTTCTTAATATCAATACAATCTAAAATTTAACTTTCCAATGTAATTTTTAAAGAAATCCATTAAACTAAAATTTTCTAAATGTTCTTTTTGCAGAAGTTTTACTAGCAATAAATTTTTGCAAATTAATTTCACCTCAGTAGCATTTTCAATAGTTTTATGTTTCCAAATCTTTATAGAAATGTTGTTTGTTTTCTTAATGCTACTAATAATTTATGAATGCTTTAAAAATGTTTAAATTAAGATGTGAATTACTGAATGGAAGTTAGATCTTGCATAATAAAGTTCAATCTAAATTTTTGAAAGGAATCCTATGTAAACTGCTGATCAAACACAAGATTTGATTTTAGTTTCACATCTGCTGCCTTAAATTGATTGATGTAAAAAGAGGCTGAAGAAAAATGCAATGACCGTCTTAGAAGAAAAGAATCCTACATGCTTTAATAAAAAATAGAATAGACTTCAAAAAAGTAGAAGACAGTTACAAATTAATCTCTAAATCCTGACACTGTATCTTCTTTTAATCCATGCTTGATTCATTGTATTGTTTTATGAAATTCTCAAAGTTATATAAGGTTTCAAGATGTATTTTACATATTTTTAAAAAAATCTGCACATTATTCCAAAACTAAACAGTATATGTATTATTGCACTATAAAACTACAAAATGTATTTGAGAGCTTATAACAGAATACTTCTTAATATAAATGTTTCAAATACTTGTACATGGACTTTTAACGTTAAAAAAATTTGGTTGTCACTGAAGGTTGATTTTTCTACTACCCTAAAAATTGCAATTTCTTTTTGGGAATACAGAGGGTGCTAAAGAAGAGATAGGGGCTTGTGATCTTCTGATTACTGTCAGACTGCTTTACTTTGATGATGATGATGATGATTATTATTATTTTGGCAATTCTATTAGAGTTGATTGGAAAATGAGGATCAGCAACATCTGGAAGTTAATGTTTCTGGCCTTGTCCCCACATCATGGTTAATTAGGCCATCAGGGAGGGGCATTATGTCATTGGGCTAAAAAAAAAAATCAACTGATGTAATAAATAAATCCCAGGTGCTAATATTTAGAACAAAATAGACCCACACTTACAAAGGATTAAATTAATTCCAGCTATCTGGTCATGTTTTAGGAACACCAAATCCCAGTCAACTGTTCTTTTTGTGCTTATAGAGACTTACAAGAAATCAAAGCGGAAAGAACAGGTTGAATTCAATGCCCAAACATCTTTCCTGGCCATTCAGAAAGGAGTTAATAATGAAGCATGCTGGTATTTCCAGGGAGAAGAGCCTAGTGGTAGGTTACCAAGCATTTTCTGAATGAACATGTAGATAATCCTTGTGACTGAGCAGTTGTTCAGCAGCCATTCAAAGTTATGACATCCTTATAATTGCAGCCATCAGAGTATCCTTCTAATCACAAACTGCAATTTGAGCACTTGATAACTGGCTCATAATTATGACAGCTGCAACACCTCAGAGTCACATGATCACCTTCGCTGCTGATCTCTATCAAGCAAAATCAGTGGTGAAGTCAGCAGGGAATCACAAATAACAATCAAGTGATTGCAGAATATCACGCTTGTACAGGATTCATCTAGTGATGGCAATTAGAACTGCCACAATTGCTATTGTAAGTTGGCATGATCAAGTGACATTGTACTTTACAATTGTGTTGCTTAGTGATGGAATTCCTGGTCCCAACTGTGGTTGATAAACAAGGATATATATTCTTGAAGAATGACTTTTGACCCAACTAGTATGATTGTCCGTTAGCAAACCAAACATAATAAAACTTCACTTGGCTAGTTAATGACTGGATTATATTATGGAAAGAAAATACCTATAAACTCTGGTGTAAGGTGCAGTGAAATTCATTTCAGAATTATTTCCATTCTTGTAAATGTTATCAACAAGAAAAACTAGATTGAAATGCTTAAATTGCAAGAGGAGAAAACCTAGATGTTTTAAACCATTCACCTTCTTTCATTAACAATTTGACTTTGAAGTTTAATTATAGTTCATCATATCACAGAACAAAACATATTTCATAAATCCTTTTTGAAGATATATAAAAATATATGAAATATTTGATATGAAAATTCAAATTATATTTTAAAATAAATGGTTTACCTGTTCTGAATTAAAGCAATTACTTGAGAAAATGTCTTTCCTATGACACTTTCTCTGTTAACTTTTATAATTCTGTCACCTACAGATAAAAAAAGGAAACAAAGTCATTCTTTTCTTGATTTAAAGCTGACACATTTTTTTAAAAGTGGGAAATTAAAAACAATTCTAATTTTTTTCTTTACAACTACTATAACACCAGAACTTGGAAGAAGAATCTTGGCAACCGGACTTCCAAGTTGCTATGACTCAGCTTCCAAGCAACTGTACCAGGATCACTGAGAATCTTCCATACCATAACTAGGATTATTCTAATAATACTAGGTATGTTATCATGGATGAAATCTACAAGTGTGGAACTCATTTATTATTCCAGATCTCATGGCATTTATAGAACATGGATCCAGGGGTGGGTTTCTACCGGTTCTGTCCACCTCTGTAGAACCGGTAGCGCTAAAGAGCAGCAGACATAGCACCAGTTCTATGTCTGCTGATGCTTTTGCCCACCCCGCCCACCTGGGCTCTTACCTGATCTTTATTTCCTGATTTTTCAACTTCAGCTGCCGAACGAGACACAGCTGCAGTTAGAAAAGCAAGAAAAGAGGGCTGTTTCAAAGGCTGCTTCTCTGCAGGCAGCTACTGACGACAATTTACAGGCCCGTGGCTCACAGCCTGCAGGAAAGTTCATAAATCCCAAACCGGTAGTAAACCCTGTCGTATCCCACCCCTGCATGGATCTAATAATTTGGAAATATATAATAATTTCTTGCTGCTTTCTAGTAATATATGAAGTGGTTATGGTTTTCAAAGCTCATTAATTCTTTTAAAAATCCACCTACAAAAATTAGCCATAAATTATTAAAACCGCTTAGGAAGAACTAGCTAGATATCTCTATTATCCAAGTGTTCTTTTATTGTTCAGAGAAAAATACTGAAAAAAAAATCTATTCATGCTATTCCATTAAACCTCAATTTAATGAGCTAATGGAGATGAAGGAATTTCCACCATAGCCAAATGAGCACTAAATTGTTAATGGTATTATATGCACGTGTAAAACATATAAAATGTAGTTCATATATATAAAATGTCTGAGAGTCATCAAGACTGATTTGCCAAACAATGAAGTTTGGCACAAAGTTTAAATTTGCCTATTGAATTGTTATGTATAAAATCCTATACCAGCCAAATTCAGAGATATGATTACTATATGAAGAGAAGTGAAAGATACCTGTGGATAATCCAGCTTCAAAAGCAGGCCCTCCTTCTCTAACTTGTTTAACAAATATGGTATCCACTGGCTCAGGCTTCTTTCTTGTTTTCCCTAAAAGATAAATGGAATATAAATATTGAGACCATGAAATATTTCATAGATACATAGAAAATCCTTGTAAAAAGTCAACATTTCATTACTGAAAAATAGTTTTATCTGCATTTTGCAGAGAATTATTATTCAAGTTTTGAATTATTAGTTTCAATGTAGTATCTAACGTTATAAACTTTTCATCCGCATTCTTCACAAACTGTTTAATATGTTGTAGACATCTAAATAGCTTAATCTGGTGGTAATTATGACGATTTTCTGAAATAGCTTGAATAACTTTGTGGATTTCTTGATGTTTACATTTCATTAATATATGTACAGATAAAAACAAATAACAATCTTGAACAACTGGGTATTTACAGCCCTATTACTAATAGTAATAGTAGTAATAGCAGCAGTCTTTCCAACAAGGCACATAACAATGAAAGCACACCTAGCTGAACAGTAAAGCTGAAAGACAGAAATTAACACCCCGCCCCCATTATAATTGAAAAATACAAACTGTATTTTATAGTGATGTGTAATAGATGAATTTAGATCCTTCTAGAAAGACTCTATTTTTCTTTTGAAAAATTATATCTAAGTTTTATTATCAAAAACAAATTTACTAATTAAGAAAATTTTTCTTATGGTCATCACTAAAGCATAAATAAAATGAAGTAAACTCCAGTGTAGGGATAGGTCACCTCTGCTTCACCTAGTGAAGCGAAAACATATAGAGAATAACTTTTCTGATAAATGTTTAATTAAGTAATAAACTTGCAAACTCATTCATATTTCCATATATATTTTCTGCCTTCCAAAAAGAAAAGTTCAGTATTCCATAAGTTTTCCATTATTTAGAGAACATATTTAGGAAAAAACATACAAAATTAAATCTTTGAGGGACTTTCAGATTCTCTATATAAATTTAGGAGATCAAAGAGGATAGATATATAGTAGTGAGATAGTAAATTATATATATTAAATTGTAAAGTAGAAAACACTGAAAAATATCAGTAAGAAATACACTACTATAATATAGCCATCCCTATTTTAAAATTCTGTACTTTTGTATTCTCTAGGTATGGTATATAGGTTACCATGTTCCAAACTATAATTATTAAAACGAATACGTTCCTATTTGGGAATTTATCTCTTATGACTATCACACTCCAATTTCTCCTCTTGCCCCATAAATCTGATCTTTATCTCGAGATAAAGTGCATTCAATTTTGAGACACAGTTGCAACCAAACGTCTTTGCTAATTTTATTGCTTTAGTGTTTTAAGATCACCAAATTAGGAAAATAAATGGGCAGGTTTATTCAAAACTTACTTTATTTTGAAATGTAATTGAAAAGTGCAAGAAGACACGACACCTAATAAGTTTACCATATTGACTGTATTAGTTACTGTAAGTATATTTATGAGGCAGTTAAAATAAAACTACCCAAGAAAATAGACTTAATAAATGATTATGTCTATATATGATCCATTAACTCACCTAACATTTCTCTACCCTACATAAGCATAGAATTTCAACAGTCACTGTTAACTGAAGAAATTATCCCAACATTCTTTCTGCATCCTTAAACTATCCTCCAACATCTATAAAGTTGTTAGGACTTTTCTGGAATTTTGAAAATACTTGGGGATTTATAGTGGTTGCCCTAACATTTACAAAGATTACCGCTCCCATTCCATGCTTTTACATTCATGAATCTCTCCCAAAAGAAATATTTTCGAAATATAAACCTTGAGTTTTTTCAGTGGACTCTACTTCAGTTCTTGAGCAACAGAAAGTGATGCATTCACCCATCTTTAGAAGGTTTTACTTAACTACCACACCACCCTGTTGCAGTCCAAAAATTCTCACAGCGTACAACAAATACTAGCAGCTTTGTTTAAAGGTCCAGAAGAAATAGGATCTGGTTGAACCAGCTGCACCTAATGATGAAATTTAAAGTCACGCCAGTGATGGTATTCAATTTTTGAATACTACAACCAGTAGAACCTACTGGTTCTGTGGGCGTGGCTTGGTGTGAGAGGGTTGTGTGACTGAGTGGGCATATCCAACTGACATTCTCCACCAAGCCACGCCCACAGAACCCGGTAGGAAAAAAAAAAATTTCTACCTAGCTACCTATTTTCTGCCCAGGCAGGCCTGGCCTAATCTGTCAAGGGCCTGGCCTAATCCTGCATGCCGCCCACTCTCTCTTCACCAGTCACATGCGTCACTCCGTTTCTTCTCTTTCAGAGGCCCCAGTCCTTAATCTCCTCATTTCCTCCCCTATGACCGCCTCTTTCATCGTTCCATGCCCATGGTTTTACCTTCCTCCTGTGGCTGCCTGCCAGGGAAGGCAAACCAGGGCTGAGCCATTGTTGTTAGTGGGCTCCCTGCATCTCACTCTTGTCACAGATGCCTGTAGCCGCTGCATGTTGTTTTTGGTGCAGCTAGACTCCAGCCACACTGAAAAAAGGGTGTGACAGCTGTAGGCTTCTTGCAGCAAAAATTACTGATCTCTGGCTGTGATCCACTTCTGCAATGTGCTGTGGCCGTATTCTAGGCACCGGCCATGCAGGCTCACTCCGTTGCCTGCTGCACCGCTCTGCTCGGACTTGTCTGGGCAAATCCCTCCAATGCAGTGGGCTCAAAGGGGTGGACCTGTGTGGCTAGAGCCTAGAATGCGGCCACGGTGGTGTGTCGAAGAAGCAGAGTAAAGCCAGAGGTCAGTAATTTTCGCTTCAAGAAGCCTACAGCTGCCACATTTTTTTTGCCACTTCTTTCCTGGCCAGAAATGAGCTGGGAGCGGCGGCTAGAGGATTCTCCTGCCAGCAAAGAGGTGGCGGCTGGAGGCTTCTTGGCGGGGGGAAAGGGGACATGGAGAGACTCAGCCGGGACTCAGAAGGCAGCTTCTGAGCCTTGCCTGTCCCTTTTTGGTCCCTCCCTCTGCATTGAGGTATCTTAAGGTGACAGGCTGAGGCAGCTGCCTTCCAAGCAGCAGCAAAGCGAAGTGAACAGAAAAGTTCATCCAAGTCTTCTCCTCCTCGGGCATACACAGAGCGTGTGCAATGAATCTCATGGTGCCACAGGGACTCACCCATGCACCATCTCCTCGCAGAAGGTCCCGGCCTCATGTGTGCACATGTGAGGTCCCGGGACGTTCTGCTAGGAGATAGCACGTGGGCTACTAGCTCGGTTCCAGTTGGCAAAGAAACAGCAGCTGGGACTGTTCTTTGCACTGACTGTTCACCACATTGCCTGCTGTGCCAGAGTGGAGGTACTTGTCTAGGCAAGTCCCTCCAGTGCAGTAGGCAATGCAAGGTCCCAGTGCAGCATGGCCAGTGCGAAGAATAGGGCGGCGATGGCGGTGGGACTGAAGCTCTATTTTCGAAGAGCGAAGGCCAGTAGTTTTCAATGCAAGAAGCCTCCAGCCAGCCAACTTGGTTCTGGTTGGCAAAGAGGCATCAGCTGGGAGGCTTCTCGCACCAAAAACAAAAGAGGCAGCGGCTGCAGGCATCTTGCAAAAGTGGGGGTGAGATGCGGGCTGGCAGGGAGCCCAGCGGCTCTCAGCCCTAGCTTGCCTTCCCTTGCAGCCAGCCACAGGAGGAAAGTAAGGTTGCGACCACGGACAACGAAAGAGGTGGTCATAGAAAAAGAAGCAAGGAGATTAAGGGCCAGGGCCCTTGAAGGAGAGGGAAATGGGCGATGCATTACGCTTAAAAGGTAGCGGGTAGTAAACAGGTGGTGGCTCTGAAGCAAAGCCAGAGCCAGGGAATCATGCATTCCCTGGCTCAGCCAAGGCAGCCGGCAGCTTCAGTCTTCAGGGAATAGCACGTCCCCAGCCCTCGACCCAAGGCAAAGGGTCAGCAGGCAGCATGCATTGCTTACCTTTGGTGAGCTGAGCTGACCGGGCATCAGCAAGACAACTGGTGAGGCAATTAGCTGGGCCATGTGGCAAAGGCAACATATATAGGGTGGGGCGAGCATGGAGCAGCTGAAAAAGGTGAGCGATCATTGAGAAGCTGGAAGGAGCGAGTGAGCAGAAACCAGGTGACCGGGTCAGGGACGTGGCCAGCCAGAAGTTGCTACCGGTTCGGTGACCCAGGCCAAATTGTTGCTATTGGTTCTCCTGAACCAGTGGGAACCAGCTGAATACCACCACTGAGTCATACCATGACTAAATGGTGCTCCAACCTGTGAATTATTCTACTAACTCGTTTTTGCTTCCAGTCTTAATATATGCCACAGAGTTTTTTTTAAATGAAGCAGCATGTAGGTAATGGTATTAAACAAAAAAATAAGCCCAAAAGATTGTTGGTGTTTTTTCCTTCTACGTTCTATAACTGGTTAAGCTTTTTGACACAGTTATTCTTTTTTATCCAGAAGAAAATCCATCATGTATTATCTATATTACTATAAATCAGAAAAAGGATTTCATAATTAAACAAAAATGAAACTGGTTGTGCATTTTGTTAAAATTATTTGCAAACATTTTAACTTAAGCTGACTGAAATAACTCATTTTTCAACCTATGAAACATATTTTCAATGTAACAGAATAAAGGAAGAATAGTTTTTTTCTTTTCAACAAACTTTACTAAACTATCTCCATGATATGAGATGGCAAAAATGGTGTTCATGAAAATGTGAAAAGCCAAATGCTTGGCTATTTTAAGTAAAATTCAGTTTATAAAATTATTAGCAATGGTGATGTGTATTGGCTGTACATATATATTACTTTTCCACCTGCTGTTCTAGCAAAGGCAAACAGGCAAACCTCAAAAGACTTCTGAAAAAAAATAGGATCCTCAGAATGTTGAATTTTTGGATGTTCCACAGTGACCTGAAAAATGTTTAATAATTTACTGCAATGATTTAATGGAATAGCTACACTACATTTTCTAAATAAGTATGAAGTGACTACAGCTGCAGCAAAAATGAGATTTAGTAGCTCATATGGCCTGAAAAACATTCATTGATAAATGAAAATAAAAAAATTGAAATTGCAGTTGCCAT